AAACAAACCCAGTTGATGCTTCTGGATCAGCTATACCGTTGCAAACAGGGTCGATTCGAAGGTTTGGAGGCGTATGCCCGACGAACCGAAAATATAAGCTTGCGATTGGGACTCTGCATCGAAGGACTGAAGGACTACATTCTGAAGGGACTCAGGTCAGAGTATGCATCGCTGACGCATATAATGAGAGGTCGGAGTCATAAGGATGTTTCCGCGTTGATTCGCGATTTGAAGGATTCTATCGCATTCAATCAACTCCACTTCGGAGCCGGTAGTCAGTCATCTGAGCCCGGACGACCAACAGCAATGAGGGTTGATCAAGACAGAAAATTTCCCAGGAAGATGGTCTGTTATAAATGCAACAATGAAGGACACAAGGCGAGGCGTGAATGACGAGTCGATGAGGCCGGAGGTATGCAAGACAACGGCAAAATACGTCAGAATCAATGGGAAACCATGGACGGTTCGAGTTGACACGGAAGCAGAAATATCGGTTATTGGAGAAGCAGCAAGTAAAGACCTCGAGCTAGATATCACGCCGAGTCCTTTGAAGGCCGTATCTGGAATGTGTGTAGGCATGTGCACTCCGATCGGTCAGGCATTCGTGACGCTGGAAACAGACGGATCGACGCATTCGGAGGTCTGGTTGACGGTCTTGCCAGACTGGGCGATGAAGGGGAGAGATATTTTGCTTGGACAGGATCTTCTGAATACTGGATTGGTGCTGGTTTATTACCGAGGATCGGCCTGGATCCTGAAGTCAAACATCGTTCCGGGTTCGAGCCAGCCTGCAAGCACTACAGACGAGAAGCAGCGTCGGATCAAAATTAAGATAGCCAAGGATGAAGAATTGCTCCCGAATTCGATCAGTATAGTCGAAGCCGAACTGGAAGAGGATCGTCAAGGCACCATGCTGATCAAAGAGGCCAACGATTCCGGAATACTGTGTCGAGTTGACAATGGAAAGATGTTAATGCCGATCAGGAACAAGGAGAAGAGAATCGTACACATGTTCAAGGGAACCTTACTGGC